ATAGTAAAACTAATTATTATGCTTTAAAGCTCTACTACTTTTTTTATATAGACTTTAAAGTGTAACATAGCTTTTAAAAAGCTAAAGTTTATGCTACTAAGTATACTTACACTCTACTATTTTAACTTTATATTATAAACTAAAATTAAAACTAACACTTTTAATAAAGTAGTAGTAGGAGTCCTTTTTTAGAAACAAGTAGATAGAAATTAGTGCTCTATATTATTCTATAGTAAGGTCCTATCTAGTTTAGAGCTAAACTAGGAGATACATAATAAGAAGCTATTTGCAATTGTTACTATGTTTAAATAATAAAAAGCTAAGCTTACATCTATAGTAATAAGCACTCTAGTATATACTAATTATTATTTATTAAAGTACATTATAATAATAAAAGTGCTAAATGCTTATTAGGTCTATTAAGCTAAAAAGTTAGCTTAGTATTGCTTTTAAATTAAGTACACCCTTAGTAAAAATAACACTAGGGCAGATATTCTTAGCTATTGTAAATAAGACATAAAGAATTTAAAAGCAGCTTAAACTAATAATAAGTTAAGAGTTTTACTAGAACTGCACTAACTACACCTCTAAATTAACTCTAAACTAGCCTAGTACTATATTACTTAAATAACAACTTAAGTAGCTACACTAAACATTATAAAAGAACTAGACTAAGTTATGTCTTTAAATTCTTTAAAATTAATTAACATATTACTTTAAAAAAATTAAGCTTTTTTTACATAAAAGTAAAAACTTTTACTTTACTATTATTAGATAAGAAACAGACTACTCCTTTATGCTAACTACTTATATATGCTAGTAGACTTATTACTGTGTACCTAACTTATCTAAAAAGTTTATAACTAAGTATCCTTAGCACACTTAAGTGCTACTAAGACTTATTAGTTACTAGCCTAAAAGTACTACTAAAAGAGTATAGAAGCTACTTATAAATAATATATATAAAATTATTTTCTTTATTATAAAGCTTATTTAAAATAGACCTAAACTTTAGAGTTTATCTACTCTTTTTTAATTCCTAATTAACTAATGCAGCACTTGTGTATTAACTTTAAGAATTTTTTTAAAAACAAGTCTAGTTATAACTAGATTATAGTTATAATTAATTATATATTTAAATAAGCTATTTTTATTCCCTACTATAAAATAATTAACACCTAAGGAATAGCTGCTTTATTTATTTAATAAGTATACTATTTTAGCTATACACCTAAAACTATTATTTTTAATTAAGGACTTTAGTTTATATCTAGTTTTTAGTCTAAATTCTGTTAAATTTTAGGTGTAAAAGTTAAGCTTTTTACTACTTATTATAAAGAAATAAATAGCTAAATAAAGATTATAAATAAGTATATTAATTAAAGACTAAGGCTTTTTGTATTTTTTTACTAAGACAACTAGAGTTCCTTACTGCCCCTAATTAATTAGGCTTAGATAACCTTACTTTATGTAATAATTAAAATGTTTTTATATTAAGTTTTATATAGCTCTAAACTATGTTAAAGCTAGGACTAGAAACATTCTATAGAACCTATTACAGCTATAGACAAGCTAAATTATTAGGATGCTCTAGCATTAGCAACCTACATGCATGCAGCCTAGAAGTTAGCTAAGACCTATATAGAAAAGGCCTAGGATTAGATGCAAACTGTAGTTAACTGCTACTACTAGCTAGTTAACTAGAAGGTTAGCAACATAGTCTACTTAAACACTAAGAACCTTACTGTTTAAAGACCTAGCTAAAAACTATCTAAATAATAAAAAAGCCCTTTTAAGGTACTTAAATAAGTTAGAAACTTATACTGCCTAAAGCTACTTTTAGAGTTAAAAATACATAACATCTTTGCACTAAATATGCTTTATAAAGACCTTTAAAATCTACTTCTAAAACAAAAACTTTTAAAACTCCCTAGAATTACTATTAATAGAGTAGAGAAGTAGAAAGTAGAGGAAATACTTACTAGTAAGCTCTACTAGAAAACACTTAAGTACTAAGTAAAATAAGTAAAACATAACTCTAATCTAGTCTAGTATAAGGCTTTAAATTTTATAGGGTCTTTTTATAAACTAAAGGCTTTTTATAATAAGCATCTAAATTAGCTAGGACCTCTAAAGGCCTTATGTAAGTAGATTAAGGCTTTTAAAGCTAGTGTAAAAGGTATAGATTACTTAGTAAATAATAAGGTATAAAAGTAAGAAGTTAGATTATATTTTTATATAATATTATTATAACTTTATAGACATGTTACTTAGAAGGTCTAACAGTAAGCTATTAGACACCTCTAGACTTTTCTTTTCCTCCTCCTCTGCCCTTCTTTCTCTTCTTTTTCTCCTCCTCTCTTCTCTTTAGACTCTCTTTAAACCCCTTTTACTTTATCCTTAGCTACTTAAAAGCGCTGCAATGTCTGCCTAAAGGTTAGACACTAAAGCCTCTAAGGCTAAAACCTATTAAAGCAGCTTAGTATTCTAGTAGAATAAGGCTACCTAAACACTAGCTATAAGAAGCCTAGCCTTCTAGCTCTTTACAACCTGCGCTACCTGCGCTAGGTTCTAAGTAAACTTTAAAATAGCTTTAAAGGCTCTTTTCTTATTTTTTTTACTTTCTATGTTTTAGGCTGCTGCCTATAGCTTAAGATAGCTCTAAAAAACTAAAAATTTCTCTTTATAATATAAAAGGACTTACGCACGCATTAGTAAACTATACCCTAGCTATATTAGACTATATTTATATAAAGTTATATTTTTTATTATGTAAAGTGTAATACTTATATTTCTTTAATTTAAAAGACTAAAAGGAAAACTTAACTTAAAAGCTGCAGGTAAGGGCGTAGGCAGCCTAAAAGCAGATAACTTAAAACACCTCTAAAAAGGCTCTAGGAGGGGGGCAGAGCAGCATAGTAATTTTCTTTAATGCTATAATTAGTTAGCAGACTAAGCTATAAGATGTTAGGTGCACAATAATACCTATAAAGTAAAGATTTAAATAATAGCTAAAAAAGAAACTAATAATATTAACTAGACTATATAAGTAAGGCAAGTAAACACTTATTGCTATAAATAATAAATTTGCTATATTAATAATAACTACACTACTAGTTACTACTAAACAAAAACATTATAACAAAAGCATTATATTAGTATTAGGTTTTTAGTTTATTTTTTAGTAACAGGAAATTTTAGTTAAAATAGTTATACTTATTATATTTTATTTAAATTAGTTTTAAATTAGTTCTAAATATTTTTTACACACTGCAAATAAAAACTATTAGCCTATAGAAAAAGGGGTAGTGTAACAATTCTATAAATTATTCTATCTTAGGTTGCTTAGATCCTATCTAAAGGGTCTCTATATTAGCCCTAACTATGACTTAACCTAGTCCCCTGCTGTTACCCTTATTCCCTTATATATTTAGTCGCACCTTGCCTTTATAGCTAGCTTAGTAGTTTTCTAATATCCTACGTACAAGGCCTATAGGTGTCATTAGTATTCCTAGGTCTCTGAGTCCCTACGCACTCCCATATGCCTCTAAGTGGATTCATACCGCATTCAGACCTATTGTCTTGCCTACGCCGTTACATTATTAAGTTAAAGTGCCTGCAGTAATACCTAATTATATGTATATTTAGCTGCTATAGAGATCTATAATAGCCCTTTTACTACTTATTATTTAGATTATTTAAATTAAACTTTACTTTATTACATAGGTTGTAACATGCCTAATTAAGCACTTTCTGCTTAATGTAGAGGCCTCTAGCAGCGTGTTTAAAGTGCTTTATTATAAACCTATTACACCTGCTTTTGCGTAACGCTGCTTTTAAAAAATTACTAAATTTACTAGCAGAATATTAAGACTATATGTACATATAATTTCTCTTAATCTAAGCTTTTAGAACAGTAAAGGTAAGTTTTATTAAGTTATAATTAGGCAAGTAAGGTAGTAAGTAGCGCATAATATAGCTAGCTTACTTAAGAATTTTAGTAATCTTATAATTTATATAAATTAACATATTATTAAAGACTATTACTCTAAGTTTTTTACTATATATTACTTAAAGTGTAAGGATTAAACACTTCTCTATTTAAACTATAAACTCCTCTTAACTATAGTATTCTTTCTTAATGCCTGTGCAAGGGAGATACCTATAGTAGGTATAGGCAGGCAGGATTGCCTATGTGTCCCCTCTTTTTAAATCCTGCGCGTAATAAGCTTTATAGCTAACTAAAGCATATGCATAGTAACACTAGCCTATTTTTTTTATTAAATATTAACTTATTTAAAAACACTAAATTATTAGCTGTAAAGCGCTTTATACTGTTATAATAAAACTTTTAAAGCTAATTATTTTAAGTAATGTAGAAAAGCAGCATTATATAATAAAACTAATTATTATTTTTTAAGTACTTACTAATAGTTAATAATAACTTAATCTGCACACCTTTTTTTACTTCTAACTACTGCTATATCTTACTGCAATACATCTAGCCTAATTAAATTAGCTTATTAAATAGAGCCTTACTGTTTTTAGGAGTTATCTTAGGCCTAGCACTAAGGGCGCGCTGTACTAGTTTACGCACACAGCTATACTTTTTTAAGTTCCTAATAACATTACAAACAGCTGTTATACTACAACCCTCTTAGTCTACTATAGCCTCTAGGGTCTATCCTAGCTGTACAAATTAGTGTATATTTATCTAGGTACGCGTAGAGAGGCTACAGGAAGTGAATTAGGGGGGTACAGGAGTACTAGGAGGTGCTTAACAAGGTAGGCGTACAGAAACACTATATAGGCAATACATGCTAGAATTGCGCTTCTACAACTCTAAAAATTTGTTAAGATAAGCCTTTTATATAGGCAACTGCAGCCTTAACTTACCTAGGGTTAATTATAAGTATAAGTGTAGATACTAATGTGTTATAGTTAAATTTATAAAAGTTGCAGATTTAGGTGGGAAAACTAAGTGGTAAGGGAATTACGCGATGCGCGCTAAGAGAAAACGCCGATTTATTGTCCTAACAAATTGCCAAGAATCCAGAGAATTTCGCACACGACAATACTGCGCCGCGACAAGTCAAGCGAGATCTTCTCGTGCGAATGTAAAGAGGCGCTGTTGTCCTGCTGCGGGCTGCGGAGTGAACCTCGATCGACAAGGACGGCATCAAGAGAGTCTGCAGTGGCGACATTACGGACCGTATACACTCCGTGGTAAGATGCGTTCAGCTGTGGCGATGAAACGATTTAGGAAACCATGGCGCAGCCAAGACCTCCATTTGCCCCGGTCAGGATAATTGTACCTTTCCGATCAGTCATGGTTGATTTAAACGAGGCAGAAAGGTTGCTGTTTAGTAGATGGGGAAAACAGGAGGGTGCAGATTATTAAATCTATGCATCTACTAAATCCACCCCAGGGAGGCAGCGGGTAAAAACTACTTGTACAGCCCACGCGCCGTGTTTCTCGGTACCGAACATATGGTCAATATCGACCCCTCACCAACGCTATACTGTCGTATCAGATGGATGGATGTCTTTATTACGCCCGGCTCTAGCCTAGAGGGCACTAGTAGTTTATTACATAAGCAATTCCTTAGTAATAGCATACCTTTTAATAGCCTATACATGTAAAATATCTATCTCTCTGTATTTTCCTAGTAAACTTTTTTATACCTCTTATATTTAGTAAGTAGTAAGTATTTTTAAGGCTCTCTTTTTTAAGTGTTTAGTGTCTTTTTATTAGTAAATAAAGCAGAACCTACTAGCGTATAAGTGTTAGTATAGTGTAGAATTATTCTTAAAGTTATAAGATCTTAGGAGTTTTGCAATTATGTGCAGCAGCTGTGCAACAGCAGCAGTAGGCCTTGTTTATAATAAGTAATAATAGTGTAGGTTTTAAAAAAAGTTCTAGTTACTCTAGAACTAGAGTTCTAGGTTGTAGACAGAGAGAATAGGCAATAATTAATATAGCAAGCTACAGTAGGGCAGCGTAGTTTTTAAGCTTAATGTTCTAGCTTTTAGAGTAAGAGCTAGTAGTTTAGATGCTAAGGGTTAGAAAAGGTAATATAAGTGTAAGAGAAATAGTAGTAGTAAGGTGTTTTTACTAGTGCTAGATAACATACTAGTAGCCACACTTACATATAACAGCTAAAAAGGTATATGTAATAATAGTAAGTAGAATAGCAATAGGCATAGTAGTAGTTAGTGTAGTAATAATAAGCGCAGCAATAGTAGGTAAAGTAGTAATAAGTGTATTAGTAGACATAACTTAGACTACTAAGATAAAAATAAGTTAAAATAAAAAGTAGATAGTAGTCTAGCTATTAGTGTTATTTAAAGGCTTTAAAAAGTAGCAGCAGAAGCAGTGTTAATGTCTTAGTAGCTAAGAAAATCTAGTATTATATCTACTAATAAATAGTCTTACTTATAGAACTTAAGTAAATCTTTATTACTTAGTTTTACAGCTTTATAGGGTAACATAATCTCTATTTTATAGATTAAGTAGGTACATATATATTCTTAATTTTTATTCTTTTTTGCGTATATAAAGCTGCATGTTGCTAGCTGCGTTAGAGATGCAGCTACACATTTCTATGTAGATAGGAATGTAGTGTAATGTAACTAAATTATTTAGAAAAATTATAACATGTTAAATAATAATAGTAAATTAGTTTAGCATAGGTAAGACAGTAACAGTAAAGCAGTTTAGTGTGTATACGTGTTTAATAGCAGCGGCGAGGTAGGTCGGCTTGATGGAGGTGATGCAAGTGACAATAGAGTCTTAAATATATTTGAATTTGCTCCTGCTGCCATTTTTCCTCCGGGAGAGAGAGGTAGGGGGGGGGCGCAAATTCTGAAGTCGTGGTCGACAGCCGGGCTACTGTCGTATCAGGCATAAGCAGTGTGCGTGGTCGGTGCGGTGGCTAGGCAAATCAGCAGAATATCGCCCATCCATTGTTGAAAGTACTCGACAATAGCCTTTGTTTATCTCTGCGCCGCATCGACCAAGTACATTCACAGTAATCTCCAGTACCTTAAATTAGCACTATCTAGATTTAGGGGTGCTCAATTTCCGCAGACTTAGAGTACAGGCCCTTGTACAAAAAATAAAGCTAAAGAAGATTCAGGTGAGTAAAGAGTTTGAACCCGCCTGGAACTTGGTGTTGGAATGTCCCGTGAGGGTCCCACTTGGCTGCAATCTCACGCAAACGGCGCATGTTGGCATCTGTGTAACTAGATAGAGGATCCTGGTACGGTGCCGCATAGTTCAAGGACAAGTATGGATCAAATGCGTCCAACTTCTTCATATCTTGGCTGATTGCATCCATGAGTGAGTGGCCATATGTCTTGATGATCTGGTCATCATTCGCGAATGTGTAGCTGATGCTCAATAAGGCGATGACTAGCGACTGGTTCAGGTTCTCTCTATGGCCGAAGCCAAGGGAGTTGGAGGCCTGGTGACGCGCATAAAGTGCTGGTGGGAGGGGCTCCAGGGTGGGCGACGAGACAATGCCTGAAACTCGTGCTATAGTTGGGAGGCTTTCATTGAAGCGGAAGAATGTGGCGTTGATGGCTGCCTCAGTAGACACAAAAGTAAGTGTATTCCAGAAAATACCGGGGTCAACACAGTCAGAACCGAACAAGGAAATGTAACACAAAGCGATGATTTTGAACACTTACCGTTGGCCACTCGCCGCCTGATCCCTCAAGTCCTTGGAAAGCTGCGTGACGTTGGAGATACCATCTCTACGAAACAATACGGGCAGGCTCCTTGTCTTCGCAAAAATGGGAGGATCCTCTATAGGCTTGGTATATTCCAGCTGGTTTGCAACAACAAGGCCAGCAGAAGCGGAGAAACCCCAGGTCAATGTCAGGTGTGCGAATTCGTCGTATGTCACTGGGTCGTTGATCCTAATAAACTCGTGGACTACATCGACCCAAACATCTGGCAGATAGTACGCAAAACCACCAAAAAAGGTTCTTGCTCAAAAGTTTGCATGTCAATGCGGGTGACGATGCCGAAGTTGTTGCTACCGCCCCGTAGAGCCCATAAAAGATCTGAATTTTCGTTCTCATTAGCGTTAACAATAGTCCCATCTGCCAGCACCACCTCAAAGTTGAGAACGGTATCTGCTGTCCAGCCATAACGAGTCCCGAAATAAGAAATACCGCCTCCGGTACTCAAGCCCCCAATGCCCACGCCGGCCGTGCGGCCGCCATTGACGTTGAGATACATAGGGTCCAGCTTGGAGTAAACCAGGTCCCATGTACCGCCTGCGCCAAGTGACACGGTCGCCGTAGCTGAATTCACTTTGACTGTGTTCAGCTTTCTTAGATCAAGAGTTACACCGCCTTCAATATTAGCAGCGCCCGCCCAAGCGGTTTGCCCTCCTGAGCGGATGGCGAATTGGCATTCCTTTTTCGCCTCATCCTTGAGATCCACGTAGAGGCCTGTAAGAGTTTCAACTAGTGACGACTCTATGATCGTCTTTTCAACAGGTGGTGGCTCAACCTTACCTAGCTTCTCCCACTCACTGAGAGTCTGCAATTCATTACCAGGCGCAAATGCAAAGGGAGCTGAGAATGGATATAACGTTTGGAACTCGGCAGCCAACCGCATAGATAAGCGAACGGCCACCCGAGCCGCTTTTAGATCGTCCTTGTGGCCGAACATCGGATGCGTTATTCTGGGATTAATAAGGGGGTCCGTACTCGTTATCTCAAGGCGGCCTGGTAACGGAGCGTTAGTGATTACTAGTCGTTTGCCTCTATGGGAGTGGATTTGAAACTTTACCTGTGGCCCGAGGTTGCAGTATAGTGGGATAGATAGAAAAGAGCGAGCGCCCTAGCACAGCGCGTTCAAGTGAGTTGAGGGGTATGATCATAATTTCGATATTAGGAACTTCATGATTACATGATGAGTCCTCTATGTGTGATGTCGTAACTTGCATGGCTGCCTCGTCGATTGAGTCTGTATGGAGGAAGATGGCAGCTGGCGCCGAGCTGAAGCTCATCCATCCTTTTCCGGTGAAGATCCATAAAAGTATATGCCAAAGGCCCCATATTGCGCTCTCAAGAAAGTGTAGTGTCTCCTTCTTGGGTAGCTCGAGCATAATTGGGATGGCGTAGTGGTCAGAAAAGTCAGCTCCTACGCCAGGCAGCTCCTTAATGAGGGGAATGCCTAGACTTGACTCAGTCGAGTTTTCCCCACCGGGTCCAATGCCACTCAGAAGCAGTAACTGAGGAGTATTCATGGCTCCGCAAGTTAGAATGACCTCTCTTTGGGCTTTGACGAGATAGTGTTTGCCTGTTTTTGGACCAGTGGAAGACCGAATATATACCCCAGTGACGGCGCGCCCAATTTGTTCATCGCCAGCTATTTCCAAGCGGGACGCAACTGTGCCAGTGCACACGCGCAAATGCTTAATCCTCTCTCGAGCAATAGTTTTGCTCAGGTACGCCGTCAAGGCTGAAACCCTTTCCCCATTCTTGTCAATGGCAGTTTCGAGGGGAAAGTAGCCGCATGAAGGGGCGCCTGGGTCGTTGCAATCGTCCAAAATCGAAATACCAATGTTTCTAGCCGCTTTCTCAAGACTGCGGGATGAATATTAGTTTAGTTTCGCGTTCGTTCTAAGCTCCAAGGAGGCTTACTACTTTAGCCACTTGAACGGATACGGTGGCTTGCGCAACTTGATGGGTCCACCACGGCCTCTCATATGAGACCGAGACTTATCTAACGGCTCAGTAGCATTCTCAAGTCTCCTAAAGTATGGCTCAACCTTATCCCATGCCCAATCTTTCAACCCCATATTGCTCCACATGGTATAGTTTCCTGGGCTGCCTCGAGTCCAGAGCATGGCATTGAGACGAGAAGCACCACCAATGCCGTTGACTGTCCAAAGCTGATTGCTCCTCCCGTGGGCGTGATGTATCGGCTCTGACCAGATCGTGCTTTGGACCTGCAAGGTATCCGTCCAAAACATATTCTGACTTAGTAATGGTATTCGCGAAACAAGATTGTTCTTCACACGTCCTCTTTCAATTAGAAGAACAGAAACGTTTGGGTCCTCAGAAAGACGTGAAGCGAGAACACAACCAACCGTTCCACCTAGAATGTTCGCGTTTCCGCAGTTAGAGAAGGACCCCCTGTAAAGTGAGTCCAACCTTACCTCCAACAACAATGTAATCGTAGGCTTTTCCGTCAACATCTTCCGGTGAGCACTCTGGGTATGACACAAAAGGCCACATCATGGGAGGTTTCTCTTGATTTTCGCTGCTATTGTCCTGAAAAGGGCGAAAGAGCTAGAAGGAAAGGGAATGACCGCGCCGATCCGTAGGATCGCGGTCTCACGCGGTGGAGTGGACTGGTACCGTTAGGCGGTGACTGTCTCCGGGCTTATAAACTTAGCTACGTAAGGCCGTCTTGAGATACTACAAAACAATCTCATCCAAGAGCTCTCCAGTGCCCAAACGTTGAGGGGCAGGGTAAGGAATAAAGGCATTGTAATATCAAGGCAACACACATATGATTGGCAGAGGAGGAGCGCCAACTCCTGGTAGGATTGTACTGCTGTGCCACGTGGATGCATTCACCAAATCACAGCACGGCCTAAGATAGAGACTGCAGCTGCAAATCGAGGGTAGATTCGCACTAGGCAACGAGACCTGCTCCGAATGCGTTCGCGACCCCATAAGATATTCAGGTGTCTTTTCGGGACTAGGATTATTGCCATTTACTATTGTGTCAATAAAGCTTCACACGGCGTTCGGTCTCGCCGTCGTGTTCCTGCTATAATACATTGGCTGACGCAAGGGCTGGAACCAATAAGACATAATGCGCAGGAGCTGAGTATCAAACCCCCAGGACTTTAGTCAGATCCCTTATTATCCAAACTGCGGCGTAGTCCACTACCATTATTAAAAGCTTGCCATAACAAGTTTAGTTGGATATAAGCAATGTCAAAGTCCGCTCTCTGTCTTGTCTCCCTTCCTTATGAATCAGGAAAGCGCCGAGGCATGATGGAGGCACAGTTCACCGAGATGAACAGCCCAGACTGAGTCTGCATGCTTCAACATCCGAAATTTACGTAGCTCACTAAATTAAATATCCTGTGCACAAGAGGGATCTGCTGTGGTCAACGTCATCCGGCTAGACAATTGCCCTATTAGCCATAGGCTTTAATGCTCTTAGAGGCCTATAAAAATATGTTTAATAAAGTTTATTATCTAGTTTACACTAATCTAGCGTAATATAGCTTAAAATATAATAGCTTATAGATTAGAAGCTATACGTTTTAGAACTTAAAGTAAAAAAATAATCTTATAAATCTCAGTACATGCTTTATAATAACTAATTTTTTTTAAGTTAGTTATATTATTATGTTATAAAAGTTTTGTCACATACAGCTATCTATCTATATATATCCTTCTGCTGTGCTAGCTAGAAGGTTAACCTTTTAGCAAACGCAACAGCTATAAGCCTAGTTTACAGTGTAGTGTAGATAGTTAGCGCATAAAAATTTTTACACTCTTATTTTACTAATAAAAATGCATTATCTCTAAGCACTATGTGTTTAATTCCTAAACTTAGTAAAAAGTATTTAGGCAGTATGTTTATTATAAAGACTATCTTATATTAAGATCTATCTCTAAGTTCTATTGCTTAGGCTAGAAGAGAGTATGTTAAGGTTGTTTTACCTCTCTTGTTCTATTGTTTAAGCTAGGGTGTGTGTCGCATACAGCTATCCGTCTATATATATCCTTCTACTGTGCTAGCTAGAAGGTTAACCTTTTAGCAAACGCAACAAGTTTACTATTATAGGTTTTAGTTAGTGTAGTTTTAAAAACTCTATAAATTACAATAGTAGCTTAAATTACTTGAAGAGCTAAAAGTGTTTAACTTTTTCTAGTAGTATAACATACTCTATAAGCAAGTTGCTTACACACCTAAGTTGCTTACTTTTGCTAAGACCCTACTAAACTACTTTTCTTACACTAATACATTTCTAACAACACTACTTAAACGCACTAAAAGAACCTTAAATACAGCTTACACTTTAAGCTTTTAAATAAGACATAAAACTCTTAAAAAAACATGCTGTAGCTATATATAAAGTTTTTTAAAAAATAAAAAATAACTATAGCACTAAATAACTTTTATAAGCTAATTCTACAGCTAACTTATAAAGGCTAGGTAATAAAAAAGAGTAGGTAATTATTAAAACTATACTTAAGCTATATATATAAAGATTTTTTTTAAATAGCATTTATAGCTAATATAGCTAATTCTTTACACGCTAAGTATAATCTAGGCTATATTAGCATAAACTAGCCTAGTATGTTTAGAAAGTGTTATTTAAACCTTAAAGTAATGTTTAAGTGTAGTATAACTATAAAAAAGCTTTTTATAAGAGTTCTAAAGTAATTTAAGGCAGGTTTAGCCTTATAAAGAATATTAAAGCTAAGTATAGTATCTAAAATAATAACATATATAACTTTAATAAAAATAAGCTTTATTATAGGCTAAATATTTATTAACTATACTTACACTTAAAACTTTACTTTAAGCTTTAAATAACACTTTATAAACATACTAGGCTAGTTTATGCTAATATAGCCTAGATTATGCTTAGCGCGCAAAGAATTAGCTATATTAGCTATAAATACTATTTAAAAGAAAAATCCTTACACATATAGCTTAAGTATAGTCTTAATAATTACCTGCTTTTTTTTATTACCTAATTTTTATAAGTTAGCTATAGAATTAGCTTATAAAAGTTATCTAGTGCTATAGTTATTTATTATCTTTTAAAGGACTTTATACATAGCTGTAGCATATTTCTTTAAAAGTTTTATATTTTATTTAAAACTTTAAAGTGTAAGCTATATCTAATGTTTTTTTAGCGTGTTTAAGTAGTATTATTAGGAATACATTAGTGTAAAAAAAGTAGTTTAGTAGGGTCTTAGTAAAAGTAAGTAACTTAGGTGTGTAAGCAACTCGCCTGTAAAGTACGTTATAAGCTTATTTACCTTTTATCTTAATTTAATACTTTACACTTTTTTATATAATTTAAGCTTAAATTAAAGTTAACGTACCTAACAGGTTGGCCGGCCACACAGGTTGGCCAGCTACTTTTGCTAAGCCTCTACTAAAACTACCCTATTCTCTTGCAAAACAGCCTACTTTAGCCCTATATAAAGTAATACAACATAAGATATTATTTAGAGTCTACTTTTACTACTTACTTATATGTATGTAAGTTATGCCTAGTTTAATTACACTACTTATATTACTTTTAACTTAGCTTACTTTCTTTAGCGCGCACCTGCGTTTTTAGCTTCTTTTTATTACTATGTGCTCTAAACTTCTTTAAAGCAGTTAGATAAGCCTTATCTTTAACTATTAAAGTCTTTTTTGCTTAAATTTACTTTCTTTTATGTAATTTATATTATGTAGCAGCTTTATTTACTGCTTAAAGCTTTATAATCTTATAGCCTACTTTGTTATATTAATGCCTTAGATAACTATTATCTACTTTTTATTACCTTACTATATTACCTTTAGCTGTTTTTATCTCTTTAAAGCTATAACAACTACTTTAGTTAATATCTAGCTTATTATAAAGCTTAACTTATTAAAGTTATACCTGTTTTTATTCTAGATACTGTACTTAGCTTTTATGTTAGCTACTAGGCAAAACTAGCCTTAGATAACCTCTAAATCCTTATAAAGCACTCTTTTATAATTATACTTATAATTAAACTTTATTATAAACTTAAGGCAGTGCTTAACTTACATACTAGTCTAGTTTAAGCTAACCTAGCCTAGATTACGCTCTGTAGGCAAGGAATTAGCTATATTAGCTACAGCTATAAGCCTAGAGGGAAATCTACGTGTAATAAGCTTAAGTATATACTTAACAACTACCTCTTTTTTAAGCTTAGTTAGATTCCTTAATTTAGGCTAGCATTTTGCTTATAAAGGCTGTCTAGCGTGTTAATTACTTAGTGTTGTGTAAAAGATATTATAGATAGCTATAGCGCGTTGTAAGAAGAGTTTTAAGTCTTATTTAAGAGCTTAAAGAGTAAGCTGTATCTAACGTTCTTTAGAAAATTTAATCTAGTGTTGTTGTTAAGGCATTATGTAGATAGGTAGAGTTTAGTGGGGGCTTAGCAAAAGTGGCCGGCCAACCTGTGTGGCCGGCCAACCTGTTAGGTACGTTAACACCTTTATAAAAAAGCCTAAGTAGATAAAGTTAGTATAGTTTAAAGTTAATCTTAGGACGTTCTTCTACGTTGCTACTATACTATAAGCACTTGTACAATGTAACTATTTAGAAAACGCTTACTAAGCATTATAAAATTAATGTGTATAAACATATATAAAATAATTATAAAGTTATAAGTAGCAATTAGGTGCAGGGTAAAGAATTTTTAAATTCGCAATTAGTTTTTTCCCTTTACCAGCTAACAGTCCGCCGTAGGTACCGCTTGTATCATTCATAGCACCTCCCCCTTCCAGAACAACACAACGAGAATTACTATCTCAACTTTATTGCCTACTTATCGCTGTGAAAGCTCGCCCTCAAAACATACAAAATGGCGCCAAAAACCATTTCCATTATTGGAGGATTAGACTATGATCTGATTATGATTGCGAACCGTATCCCCGATGGCGGTGAAAGTCTCCTGGCGAATGAGTACTTCGAAGCTCTGGGTGGAAAAGGTGCCAACTCTGCAATCGCGACATACCGTACCTGTCACAAGAAGCCTATGGATGCCCACGAAACACCAGCAATAGAGACCTTAGAGAAGCCAAACGATGATCAAGCAGAGCCGACAACCGCCGAGGAGCTCCGAGCAGCCCAGGATCAACTCATCAACCTCTCTGGCTATGAGCTGGAAATAAATGTCAGAATGGTCGGTGCAGTTGGTGATGATAAATACGGAGAACGGTTCTACGCTGAGTTGAACAAGAACGGCGTTGACTCTTCCGGCATCGTCACGGTGCCCAATACTCAGTCGAGCATTTGCTTCGTTATGGTGGAGAACTACACACGCGAGAATAGATGTCTTTTCACTCTCGGTGCAACGGCGACCTGGACTAAAGAGCATTTCTTGAAAGTGGAGGATCTTGGCCATGGTGTACGACCAGACCTCTGCGTCGCCCAAATGGAGATCCACAAGGAAGTGGTCGAGCAGATGATAGAGACGGCTGGCAAAGCTGGCATCGATTTCTGTTTGAATGCAGCACCAGCAAGCCCGATAACAAAGCGCACGTATCGGTATATTACTCACTTGTTGGTCAACGAGTCAGAAGCAGCCATCATGTCTGGCCGCGACTTGGATGAGGTGAACAAAGATACTTGGCCCGTCATTTGCCAGGAATTCCTTAACCGGGGGGTTAAAAACGTTGTGGTCACTCTTGGAGAAAAAGGAGCCTACTACGCAACTGCAACGGATCGTGACCATTGCCCAGCGTACAAAGTTGAGGTTGTAGATACCACAGGTGCAGGGTGAGTTTTCTGCACCCCCAAACTATAGCGGCACTGATTGATTCGTCAGGGATACGTTTACTGGTGCATATGCTTCCGACTATTTACGGCAGAAGGAAGTAGGAAGGTGGGACATCAGGCGCGCTGTCACTCGTGCGAATAAAGCTGCTGCTCTAACAATTACGAAGCTGGGCGCTCAGAAGGGCATTCCTTGGGCCGATGAGATCGATCGTTTCGATGTTCCGTTCAATGATCCTGATATTTCAACGCTCACCATCACTGACGAGGCTTCTGTGGTTCTATGAGAGAAGACCTGTAGAAATAATGTGCGGCCAGAGGAAGATATTGACAAAGGAGCAACAAATTCTGTGGGTAATGATGGATTTGCATTCCCACTTATAGAGTGAGGATTTCGTCCAATATACCAGTAAAGGTGTCAGCCAATACTGGCTGTTGAGATGTAATCCCATCGTGACCGTCGTGACCTATCGACGAAACCCCATGTTGATACCCACACTCCTTGCAAAAAGACAAATTCAGCATACCACGCTCATCGCGGGCAATCAAGATCGACCAGGTAATCCCCTCCAGGCAAAAAGAAAAGATTCGTGGACTATATCACCGCAGCCTACCCTCTAATCAAGTGAGATCTTGTTATATAGCAGAGCTTGAAAGGCCTTCAGTGACCCATCCATTTTGACAGACCACCCGTTAGAAGCAGGTTGAACAGAAAACAGTATCCCCTTCCAATCGGAGACCTCGCTTGATGTCTTTCGCTTCTTTCCTTCTGGGCACATTGCGCTCCAACATCTTGAAAGTCTGCTCCTTTAGTAAGATCCCGACAGAATCACTTTGGGGAACTATGTCGTCTAGCCAATCGATAACCTTATCCAGGTTCTCCCGGAAAGCATAAGCATTATCGCGATGTTGAACATATCGAAAGGCTTGGTATTCTTCCAGACTTCGTTTGTGTCTGACTGTGAGCTTTCGCTGAAGACACATCCAAGAGAGAAGACATCAGTGCTTCGTCCTCGTGGCTGGCCTTCCGGAGCCCAGTACACTGGTGTTCCAAATGTAAGGGTGTCTAAAGAAGTTGAACTATCCAGCCCTGAAAAGTCCTTTGCGCAGCCAAAGCCAGCGAGGTAAGGCTGGTGGTCCTTTATTAAGATATTGCCAGGCTTGATGTCTTCGCGTTTGATGTGTTTGGAATGTGCAAATGCTAGCGCGCCAACGAGACATCCAAACCAGGACGTGAGGTGAGTCAGGTCTGTTCTTGGAAACTGTGCGTCGATGCATCGGCGCGGGTAGCGCCGAAGGTCGCATTCGGCGACTGGCAACATGATGATGCTGTATGTATCAAGCTCGAAGACGTGGAACTGAACTGAAGCGATATGGTGATGGCGAAGCTTTTGCATGATGGACACCCCGTTAAGAACCTCCTTTTCTACTCGGGCTTTCGACCTAGGATCGGTGACGCGGATGATTTTTTGAGCATAGAACGTCCCGGTAGATGTTTCGCGGACCTTTGATACTTGTCCATATGTGCCTTGCCCTAATGTCTCCTGCCACTCAAATGACGCTCTTGTCGTGTAAGGATTCATTGGGCCGAGTGTACCGTTGTAGTAGCTGTATTGAGTGGGTGCCGCCGGGCCGCTGCGAGTTCTTTGGCAGCTTCGTTGACCAACCCTTCCCACTCCTCCTTTAATGTAGCTATCGTTCCGGATGCAGATTCGATCTGTTCGAGGAAGGTTTCGAATTCGACTACTTTCATTATTAGCTTAGAGGTAAACAATTCGGTGGCTTGTAAACTCACGGGCGGTTTGCAGTGATACAATGTGTTGCAGCATCTTTTCGTAGCATTCCATATATATCGCAAAAATTTGCTGAAGTGGTTTCTGAACCTTTTCATTGTCTGGGAATAGGGAGAGCTCAGCACCGTACGTCACCGAGCTTCGGGAGATACTGTTGAAAGAGCGTATCTTTCTGCCGTGTCTTCAGTGCTGCCTAGATTGACACTAGAGAGCAGGTCCAAGTGGCATTGCGATCTAGTCTAAGTGTCTTACGAGGACTGTTTCGAAGGCCTTGGACCAGAAGACCGAACTCAGACTGTTGGATGTGTCGAGACCGGTTGATTCATCTAACGCGCCAATGAATGCTATAATTTGGTCATGATGTCTGGAGAACCTACCCAGCAATCGCTGAGGGTCGCGCTCGCGTATTTCGGCGCAGATTTGTACAAACGCTCAATGGAAAACGTCTTCGCTGTGGATCGCTGTGGACTCATCCGATGCCGACAGGTCCGACAGAAACGTGGACCAAGTGGAAGCGCTGTCCGTCACTGACATGGCATAACGGGCCGCAAGGAACGCAGGGCGAACGAGCGACGTCCACTGCTGCGCTGGCTATGGTGGGCGCAGGCGCGTTTCGTTAGGTATAGGATTCTTGACATGAAAAACCAACCCGCAATGTGCTGTCTGTACGGGATTTAGAAGCTGACAAGCTATCGCAGGGCTATCCGCGGGGTCGGGTGTGGCTCCGTCTTGGCCCCCAGGGGCGGGTAGTCGGTGGAATGTCTTGGCATTCTCGCTTCGTCAGAATCCCCACCCAAATACTAGCCGAGTCAGACCCGCGCGCAACTAACGCGCATCGTCGCCTCCTTCTCGTATCCACTAGAGCTCGTAAGTTGATCCTAAATTACTGCCTAATTAGGTAGCTAAGTTTTCTTCTAGTTTCTAGGTGTTTTTTTACAATTTTCTATAGTTGTCTTCTTCTAACTATTTTATTAAATAATTTAACGGCGCAGGCACGACAATAGGTCTAAATGCGGTGTGAATCCACTTAGAGGCATATAGGAGTGCGTAGGGACTTAGAAACCTAGGAATTCTATTAACACCTATAGGATTTATACAAAAGGATATAGGAAAACTACCTTGCTAGTTGTAAGGCCAGATGTCCTAGAACAGGCTAGTATGGCCTCACCCGACCTGTTTGGAGGTTACATGACCTGTGCTTCGTTTATTTAGCTCTGCCCTACTAGCCAGCGCTGCTACAATGGAGACCTATACAGACTCTATGCAGTAGATAAGTATACTAAATAGCATAAGACACAGCTACTCTACTATAAATTATCTGCTGTACTAGTGCCAGCTATACTTTAATTTATAGCAACTATATAATGTTAATTTAGCTTCCTAGTTATTACTATTAGAGCTAATAATAAGTGTAGATGTGAAAACTTTAGTAAGCTTAAAAATCTAAGCATTAAAGTAAAATTCTACGCTAAGCATATAAAAAAGTAAAATAGACTTATAGAAATTACTAGTGTAACGATTCTACGAATCGTTCCATCTCGGGTCGCTCGGATCCTATCCGAAGGGTCCCCGTATCGGCCCCGACCATGACTCGACCTAGTCCCCTGCAGTTACCCTTATTCCCTCATGTATTTAGTCGCACCTTGCCCCTATAGCTAGCTTAGTAGTTTTCTAATATCCTTTTGTACTAGCCTATAGGTGTTAATAGCATTCCTAGGTTTAGAGTCCCCACGCACTCCTATATGCCTCTAAGTGGATTCCTACTGCATTTAGACCTATTGTCTTGCCTGTGCTGTTACATTATATTAGAAAACTTACTTTTACTAGTAACAGCTTTATTAATAATATTACATTAATTATTTATTTAATTACATCTAACTCTAAGAAGTGTTTAATTTAGTTTAAGTTACTATTCTTACACACTATTACATTAAATTATTTAGTTATTATAGATAGGATTCTAAAAACCTTTTGCTAACTAAAGCCTTTAGGTTTAGAACTTCTTATCCCTTATAATTAGAATTGCTTTTAGAAAAGTTGTAAAGAGTGCGCTAAAGTAGAAACCTAGAGACTACTAATAACTTATTAAGATTAAAGACAACTACTAATGCCTAACTCTTAACTACTCTTAGACTTTAGTACAAAGCTTGCAACACGCTCTAGCTATAGCTAAGGCAAAATGCCTGCTACTAGAGCTAAATAACTACTAACTTTAACAGCTAAACCCCCTTTTATAGGACCTAAACCTAAAAACCTACTAGATTTAGAGTTAAACCCTAGTAGTATAGCTCTTAAGAACTAAGTTGCTTAATTAAAAGCATAAATTAAACAGCTAACTAGATTAAAAACTATTAGTCTTAATTATCTCCTACTAACTACTAAATTACCTCTAATAATGCTTTAAATTACCTTTGCTACACTAATAGTAAGAGACTTTTTAGGCACTTTTAAGCTCTCTTAAAGCTACCTTACTAAACACATGCTTAAGATTAAGAACCTTATAAATAGTAAAAAACCTATGTTTAAATAATAGTAAGCCTTTATTATAGACAGACTTAACATTAATTTAGATTACTATTAGAGTAAGTGTGCACGCATAGTGTTAGTATAGGGACACACTGCTAGTATTGCAAAGGAATACCTAGAGCCTAGATACCTAGCTAAATTAAATAACTTTTAGTTTAAAAACATAGAAAAAATAATTAAGCTTTTATAAACTTACTTTATTACTAGTAACAAAGAGACAGAGGCGCAATAGGCGTTTTAGACTCTAAAAATAGGTAAAAAAGAAGCATTTTTTACCTTTAAAGCTTGCTTTATTAGTGCTGCTGTTAAAAAGTTTGTATTAAAGTTAGAATAGTTCTTCTACTGTCTGTACGCAGCAGCAGCGTCACAATCTAGATACAAGCGATTGCGTATAAGCAGGACCACGTATCTATGTCACATAATGCTTGTGCGCGAACCTCTGTGCGCAAACATCTAAATATCCCCCTTTTCCTCTATATAAAGGAAAGATAAGAGTAATAGAACTAGAAATATATTACCTTTACTTTACTTACTTTATACACTGTGCACACTATACACTACTCTTACTCTTACTACTTAAGTGCTTATACTAGAAGCAGCTAGCTATTAGCGCCTATTTAACACTAATTAGTAGTTAATTTAATTAACTGTAAATTAGTAAAAGTAATAATAAAGTTGTTAGATATGCGCACCTACTGTCAAGACAGGAGGAACGTTTGACGAAAGCTGCTACATAGTACGAGCAATAAGCTCGAACAGTATGTTGCTGCAAATTGCTGCATTTTGCAGCATTTTGCAGCATGTTGCAGCAAATTGCAGCATTTTACAGCATGTTGCAGCAAATTGCAGCATTTTGCAGCATGTTGCAGCAAATTGCAGCAAATTGCAGCATGTTACAGCAAGTTGCAGCAAATTGCAGCATGTTGCAAGCTGGTCGCGCATAGGGCTAGTGCGCGAGGGACTCGGATTGGCAGAACAAAAAGCCGAGCAACACAAGTAGAGCAGAAAAAGGATTAATAAATAAACACAAATTAATACAATTAATTAATTATCCTATACATTATATCTAAACCTATTATTTATCTTAGGAAGCCTAGAAACAGTGCTTTAATTTAATAATTAAGAGTCTTAGTGCCTCCATTAATACAAAATGGCCACCCAGCCTCCTCAAGACGCGACAGTCGTCCTTCAAGACCACACCGACTACAGAGCCTGGATGATGCAGCTGCAATTGAGATGTGTAGCGCACAGCATCTGGCCGCAAGTAGATCCTAAGTTGACCATCCAAATGATCTCTAAACCAAGAGCTCTAGAGATGCCGCTAATAGCTGAGTTTTCACCAGCCTCTAATGTTGAAACGCCTACGCACATAAACAAGCTATTAACAAGCAGTGTTAGAGCCTTTAAAGAAGCCATTAAATACTACAAGATTAAGGCTAACAAGTACAAGAGTGATAGACATAATTATAAAAGAGAGCAATTAAGCCTTTAACAGATTATTGTCTTTATCTAGTTAACAGTTAGCCCGCATCTGCAGTGTACATGCTGTTCCCTAGATTAACTACTTAGATAGTAGATTACAAACTTTAAAGCTATAGTAGGTGTTAATAACTAATTTAAACAAGAACGTGTGCGCAACTAATATAATGCATCCCTAAAGCTGCTAAGAAACGCGAGCATATAGGACCTATGGCTAGCAGAGTATGACTACGCTGCTATAGAAGCAGAGACACAAAATGTTCTAGAAACAACGCAGTTTAATGCTGTAGCAAAGGACTTTCTAACTACTATAAATAAAGTTGCCCTTTATTAGTCTATAACTTTTTAGAAAAGCAGACAGTTTACACTAAACATAAATTAAAAAGAAATAATAAAGCACTTTTAAAAACATATAATGTTAAATTATCTAATATATATAGGAAAGCATAAAGCTGCCTTTACAACAGATAACTTATTATATTTTACTAAAAGTAGGAAAACTACCTAGGGCATAAACAGGGACGCCTGTAGTGCAGAAGTTGTAACATTAAGAAAACAGAGTAGACCTTAACATTAACATTATTAAAAAAATAACAGGAAGTTATTTTTAAGCTAGAAACCTGCTAAAATAAAAGGCACTAAATGTCCTGCATGCAGACACATTTATGCGCTAAAGGACTGCTTCTATGTCTATCTAGACAGAGCACTAGACTAGTAGATGCTAAATAAGAGAGTTAAAAAGCTTATAGCATTAAAGCGTAAGCACAACTTAGATTTTTAAGGCCTACTAAGAGGGCAGCGCAGACATAATTTAAAAATACTAACTCTAAAAAGTTTACATACACCTACACTAGAGATACAAGAAAACTAACTTAAAGGCTAGGAAGTATTAAGAGTTAAGGCAGCTGCATTGCTAGCTATAGTTAATTTAAACTAAAACAGATATCTGCTAAGAGAATTATTTATCCTTAACTTAAGCTTAACATGCTATATTATAAATAATTTTAATTAGATCTACAACTATTATTTACTAACACTAAAAAACTTTATCTAGTCTAGAAACTCTTGCATATAGATTTAAAGCTATAAATTAATTACACTAAGCTTAAAGAGTAAGCATAGAACACATAGTTAAGCATACAGTCTTGTACTTTATAACACTGCACTGTG